CTTCCATCTAAATTGAAACCTGTGTATTCTTCTCATAAGGAGCAGATTTGAGTTAAAAAAAAAACAAAACCAAAAACTTTACTCTTAGTACCTTCCCCCTTCACCACCTTCCACAGACAACAATAACTTCTACCTAATATTGTATTCAGAGGTCTTTATTATTGAAACTACACTTCAGATTATCTATCGCCCTATGAAGTGATGAGGCACAGACTTGACCTTCCTTAAAAAGGCTATTAATCAGATGAGAAAAAACAAACCACCGATTGTTATTTTTTAAAATGGCCATTATAAAGTGGGGCCCATATTGGTTGGTGTTTCTCTAGAGTAGGGATGGGATTAGAAGAAATAGAATATGCCCCAAAGTGAAACTAGAGGATCTCACCCATGTTGCTCATTTTACAGATAAACTATTGCCTTAGGGCAATGAGAGACTCTTTAGCAGATATCAGAGAGGAAGGCTAAGGTGATTAACACAGCCTGGTTTTGTATGGATGTCCCAGGAATTAGTACTGAAATGGTGCTTTGAACATGTTTTAACAATTTGCAAACCAGGTGATCTCCCTCACCTGGCAGTCTACTTCCTCACCCCCTTCCTCAGGATGTCACGAGGAGTTGGGAACCCTGTATTCGGACCCCTGTAACAACTCCTCCCCACTGTTGCAATGGAGTGTAGAATGCTCAGGATCCCAGGTAGGTTGAGCCCAAAGGTAGGGCAGGGAACATGTTTTGATACATTTGTATAGCATCTAGCACAATAGGGCCCTGATCCTGTAATATCAACAGTTAAATTAATTATATATATATATTCTAAGAGATTCAGGTCTGTGGGTGATGCTCTCACACTGGTGAACCCTGCACAAATATTTTGGAGAGAGACAAGGTGGGTGAGGTAATATCTTTTATTGGACCAACTTCTATTGTCTCTCTCACCAGCAGAAGTTGGTCCAATAAAAGATATTACCTCACCCACCCCAGTCTAATATCCTGGGACCGACAGGGCTACAACAACATTGTATCCAAATATTTTACCATAAAAATAATGCAATCTGTGCTTCAGAGGATTAATTATAATATTCATATAGTGTCTTATTTGTATATGCATGACAGCAAAAAATAATGTTAAGGCATTAAAAATCAGGTCAATCCTAGAATAAGACAGTGACTCACATTGTTAACATCATATGCGAGATTACTATGTAGATTTCAAGATGACAAAAGAACTATAGGGACTGTTTTGGCCTTTGGCAACATATATATTTTTACTTATCTTCTTATTCGAGCCTCCTTTTATTACTTCTCTTTATTTTTCTTCCTTTTTCTATTTGTTGTTCAACCCAATTTTACTAGTATTTTTGCTAAAAATATTAAACCTCTCTTGTATTGTGATGCAGCTTTGACTGTCATGATTTGTTATACATTTCCTTTAAAAAAATCTCTGAGATCAAAATTAACTAGAAAAGGGGTTACATCCATGCAAACAAACAGCTATGCAGAGAATATTAAGAACATTTAATCACTGTAGCAGGGAACCTATTATGCCCTTTAAGTTTCAGGTTCAGAATACATACTGCATTTTAAAATAGAGCCTTATTTTGTGATTTTCCCTATCAGTTGAGACCTGAGCTTACAGCCCCCAGAATATATATATATTCTAGGAGCTGTTGTATATAATGGCTGGGGTTGCGTTATTTTCAGAGAGGATCTCCAACTCGGGAATTCACTTCCCTTCTTGCACTGACAGTCTGAATTTGTTGACCTTCCTGGAACGTTGCAAGGTCTATTGATGCAAGTGCTTTCTCCTCAAGAGCCTTTTTTTATTTGTGGACTAGGCAGTTTTTTTCCACCTTTTTTTTTACATTGTTAATTTACATTATGTTTCTAAAATTGTATTCTTCTTGCACCAGTCACGAGAAAAATGAATACACAATACATTAAGTAACGTACACATTAAGCAAAGTGATGGATGTTCTCATGTCAAACAATCACCTGTTAGGAAAAGGCAAGGGGAGTAGAGAAAAGAGGACAGAACAGATTTTTGTTTGTAACAATGTAAACAAAATGTGTAATATCTTTGCTATGCAGAGCACAGCCAGTGACTGCTATCAGAATTTGCATTGCTGATATCATGGGTCCCTCTACTGTTACTATAGCAATTGCAACCACCTAACATATTTGAGCTCATTTGTGGTTAATAACAGCATCAAAAGATAGTTTGTAATGGTTCTGCATATGACAATTTTGAGAAGGAAAACAACTAAAATACACTAGGATGCTGTATGCAGTTTATAAATACTGATAAATTACTGAGTTTCTTTGTAATGAGAATAGAAAATGTTAAACAGAATTCTAATTAAAAGTACACCATTTTCTCATGATTTCTGTCACATTAAAGCCAAGGTCAACATTAGCTCTAAAGGGTTATAGTATTATTTGTCTTGTATCAGCAAGTCTAGAAATACCTCTATATGGTCCTTATCCCCATAGTATCTAAGCAGTAGCCAAGAAACACCTCTGATACTAACCTGTTTCTTCTACTTGCCAGCTTGAGACATGCAGGAACCGGGAAAGCTGACAGGTTCTGAGCAAGAAGAGCGCACAGGACAGAGGATGGCCAGAGAAAGTTTGAAGTAGAAGAACAGGAGATGGTAGATAGTACTAAAATCCTCTGGCAGAACAACTCCTCTTAGGGCAATAACCCATGGTTTTACTAGAGCTGTAGTGAATGTTCCAGATGGGAGAGGTGATCCTACTTTCCCAGCCAGAAGAGTCCATTTCACAGGCTGCTGCCAAATTGAACCAACACAGGTTGGAGGACATGGTGGGGATTTGTTGCTCACCTGAACTCTAATGAGCTCTCTCATCTCTTCTCCTTGTCTTTTTCTCTGTAGGAGAAACATCAGAAGAGCCAAACGGGTTGTGTGGGCTCCATGGCTCAAGGCAGAAGTGGATCAGAAACAAGTAATTGTATTGATGGGATGACTGACATTGGTTTGCCTCTGGCTTTCCCATAGTAGCACACACGAAGAGTAAGAATAGGGGAGAAAAGAAGAATGGACAAATGACAACAGGATTTACTCTTCATACACCTGAAGCATGATGTTTGAAAATAAGTAAGGCTAAGATTTAGTCATGGGTATTTTTAATAAAAGTCACGGACAGGTCACAGGCAATAAACAAAAATTCATAGCCTGTGACTAAATCTTAGCTGCTCTGGAGGACCCTGGGGAGGTGGGGGGGGCGCTGCTCTGGGAGGCCTCGGTGGGCCTACGGCTGGCTCCTGCTCTGGCAGCGGGGGCTGACTGCCTCTGGGACTGTTGCTGCTTCGGGGCCACCCCTGGGGCTAGCTGCACCAGCCGCTGCTTGAGTGGCCCCAGTGCCGCCCCAGCAGAGGCCAGTGTGGCTGGCCCTAGGGCCAGCTGCTCGGGTGGCTCTGGGGTCAGCCGCACCAGCCACTGCGGAAGTCACAGAGGTCCCAGAAAGTCAAGGAATCAGTGACTTCCATGACACATATGACAGACTCACAGCCTTAAAAGTAAGTCATTAAGGAAAGAAACTGCTGCAGGTCTCAAATACAGTTGTGCTCTACACTGTAGCACACAGAACTGAGTGTTGTCCTGTCACCTGTAATGCATACAGGGCTTACTATTATAGCTTCAAATCAAAAGCGCATAAAGACTTTTCTCCTGGGAGTAACAAATATCTCTAAGTGCTTGCTATGTTCAGTAAGTCTTTTGCCTGAAAGTTAGGTACAATTGTGATTTGCAGTCTATATGATTTTATAAAAATTTGATAATGAGTGAATATAATGTAACTGGAATATGCTTCATGCAAAAGGTCTCTTGTAAGGTATCATTACAAAGCTTATCTACTGAGTGTGATCATCCTATTTGTATAAATGTACCACTCTTGTATCTGAAACTAGAAATATGAAATATAACTCTGAGGGCCTACTGTAATTATGCAAAGTGTGGGCCATTAATGGTGGCTTGGAATCTTGATGACTCCCATTAACCAGGACAATTGTCTGCAGATGGGTGTGTTTTACCTGTAAGTCTTCCTGTATACGTATGTGCTGGCAAGTGGGCAAATTCCACGCACCATGCAATGTAGTTAGGTCAACCTACCCACACTATAGACAGAGCTCAGTCGTTGGAAGAATTCTTATATTGACTGAGCTGCGTCTACAGTCTATCACCTCTTGAGGGGGTGGAATTACTACAGTGATGGAAAATCAATTTCCATTGATGTGTAAGTGTCTACACTACAGTGCTACAGTGGCAGAGCTGCAGCGTTGCTGTAGCAGCCCTTGAAGTGTAGACATACCCACAATGTCCAATACTATGCAACTATCCTCTTTAGCAACTTAAAAGCTTAATGTAACTTATATTGTTCATATTGGACTAGAAGCATTCAGTCAAATGTATCCCATCTGTAACTCTTTCAGTAATGTTACAGTTAATTATGTTAAAAGTTTTTCCACACGTTGTGGTTCATAGAAGTCATACAACCGATGAAAAAAGTCAAAATGTAAAATGGCAAAACTTTAAACCTGTCACATAATAAGCAATTCAACAAAGTCTCAAATGAGTGGACGAATCAAAGTAGGAAATGGCAAAGTGATGTAACATAGGAAAAACAAGTACCAGGAAAAGATCGTAAAAACAACAGGAAGATTAACCAAATTAATACTACTATGTACTTTATATAGTTTGGTTTAAAGAAATGAATTCCACAGAATCATTAAAAACCATCACACAGTAAAGGGCTTTATTTATAGCAGACAAGTCAACACTTCTGTTAGTATCAATTTATCCAAGGTTTGAGAGAGATGGAAATTAATGACTGTGTTCAGAAACAAAAACATAAAATCAAAATACATCAGCGAGAACACATGCTCCCTAAAATTATACTGTCCCTCTGATGGACCCTGTATATCATGTGACACATGAAAAAGGATGTATTTCAAATACAGATTTGTAAGACAGAATGATTTAGGAAAAAATACTCAGACTTTACCAAGTCCTGGAGGCAAAATTAAACTTTTGTTCCTAATCCAATATATGATACAATAAGTATTGGTTCTAATTTTAGAAAGTGGGATTTGAATAACAATAACAAATCTGATGAAGACAAAATTTAAAAAGTTATGTAATTACTACAGTAAAGTCCTCAGACATATTGAAATTACTCTCCCTTGTTATTTTCTAATGCTAAGTATATACTGTATAAATAATATCTGTACCGCAGAGCTCTTTTTATAGATGAATTTTACCATAACAAGATTTTGTTTTAGTTTTGACCCAGTAATCAAAAATTTCAGAAAGGAATAGGCCAAAATGCAAGGGGCTTTGGTGACACAATGAGCAGTTAACTCATGTTCATGACTTCAAAAGGTGCCAGTGACTACACAAATCTTATCCCCATCTCAGCGTGTCTGCTACTGCCTCTTCGTTAACAGAAACACGTGTAGTCAAAGAAAGGGCATCTTTTTGGAGGAGAGATGAGAGGGAAGAGTATCTTTTTAAATAAAAAAAGTGAAGGCAACAAAATCAATTAGTTTAGTGTTCACAGTAAAATGTGCCAGCTTTGTAGTTTCATTTGAAACCAAGAGTAAATCATGAAACGTCATGAAAAATATAAGATAAAAATCTCCTAGAGTGATTACTAGATGAAGTTAAAATTACCACACTAATCAGTAAACCCCAGAAGAAACGCAGGTCTCTCATAGTATAGGTCCTTTTTTAAACAGTATGCACTTTTTAAAATCAATACATAAAATCTGCATGTTTGGCCACGTTGCACAGTTTTTTCTCCCCCCCTAAAAAATACAGTATACAGAAAAAACCTTTTTATTCCCAGTATGAATTTTGAAGTATAAGCTCAAAACCCAAAAGTTAGAGAGATCAGCTAAAAGGATTTTAAATTATTTACAAATCCAGCAGGTAGAACTGCCATAATGGCTTCATTTCCATCCTTATAGTGACTTTCATTCTATCCAGCAGCATCTTTGTCAGGTATCTACTTCCAGTTGGCTTTGTCACTGATCTTCTGTCATTTTAAGCAATTCCAGAAGGGCCCCAACAGCTCCAAAATATCCCTTAAAAACAGAAACAATAACTATCAGAAATTCTGAAGTACAGCCAAGTAGCACAATACTCATGATGCTTTCAGCATTGATAAGGCAGTTAAAAAGATATACATCTTGTGAGAGCAGTCATCCTATACCAGTGTTCAACACGTGAATTGTAATTAAATGATTTCAATGGAAGAAGAAAAGGGCCCAGTTGTATCATTATAAGCCTTACACAGCTTGTTGTGACTAACCAAAGGTCAAAACAGTACTTGTTATGGAACCACTATATTGGCTCCACACTTATGGTAAGGCAGTTTCCATTCTAACCCTATTAATCTAATTTCGACACCATTTGACATTTTGTAATAACAAAATCCCAACCAACCAAAACAAGTATCGGGCCTGAAATTTTGCATGCATAGTCTTATGCCAGAGAAAGTTTTGGGCAGATGTATGAGGTTTATTAAATGAAAGTGAATCCAGCAAGATGAGCACCCAAACTAATTACAATTCAGGGATTTAAATCTTCAAACCACCTCCTGAGTTAAAGGCCATTTTCACAGAACCTAGTCTATCACCCCCTTTGGCTTTTTAAGAGAAACATTCTCTGTGGCAACTCTGTACACTCAAACATCACAGAAATAGTTTCCTATAACTAATAAGGAATTTAATGGATACATTTCCCTACCTCATGTTCCAAAAATAGAGCCTTCAGCTGTCCCTTGGACCAATAATCCATAGCGTACGCTAGCACCTTCATAGAGATCATATTGATTCTGAGAAAGTTTCCTACAAACACCACTCTGTCAATGTTCTGTAAAATAACAAAAGACAGATGAAAAATAAAACTAAGTTCAGCATGTGTGCTGCTTTAGACATGCAATTTTATTTCTATTGAGAAAAAAAAACTTGGGAATTTTCAACTTTATAGATCATAGCAATGCATCCCAAATTCCCCCAACTGAAACCCCCTAAGCAGTAAGTAGCTGTGTTTACTAAGGAGACAAGTGGCAGCAGGCAGGCATATTTTATTTGCAGGACAGGATAAAATATGTCACTAATGTGTTACATACATATAATCACATGGCGCTTACAGGATGTATGATACTATGAGATATTTCTCTGATGTGGTAAAACTGAAGTGTTAGTTAGCAATGCTATTTCCATGTTATCTCATATGTAATTTATTTGAATCATATGAATTTTTATTAATATTTCATTTATTAAGTGAAGCAGCCTTTGAAGAGTCAAGATAATCAACAAATCCACCTGACTCCAGGCGAACCTTTGAAGGGTATTTGGTAAGGATTACTCTAGAGATACAGGTGAAGGCATCTGTAAACATCATTCCCAAACTGTGGTTCCACTCTGAAAAGTGACTGTAAAATGGGAGGGTGAGGTTCCACATTTATTGTCTCTCACTGGTTTCAATGTTAACTGTGCTCAGTTTATATGGAAAAGCATTGAAAAAAAACCAACCAACAAACAAAAAACTACCTCTCCAATTTCAATCTAAGAGCCAATCAAAGGTCAAACCAACCCTTTTCACACAACCACCTGTAATTAAAGTTCCTGTAGCCCATTATGCCTTCAGTTACACCTATACTACCCCACTGAATCCAGTTCTGGTGATGATGTATAAAGAGAAACAGAATCTAGCATTCGTCATTTTAAAATAGTTCACATCCAGCAAGTCAACAATTCAACAGCAAGTGAGTACCTGAATGTGCAAAAGCTCGTAAGACTCATGTTGGGAGCTTGGATGATGATGTATTTCATTAACAGTCTTTGCTGAATATCCACAGAATTATCTCTAAAGATAATGATAACATATGCTTGTGTTTGCCACAGACTCCAGAGGGTCAGTTAAAAGATTTCTGTCCTCCATGACTGTAAAACTTCATTATCTAAATAAAGCTTTTGTTGCTAAATATAGTCTCATCTGCGCATCTGACTGTTCTTTTCCGAGTAGTTTAGCCATGCTGATATAAATAACTAGACCATGATGTCCTTTAGCACTGTCCAGGGTGTAGTCTGAAGAGGATGTCACACTCAAAATGTGTAAGATATTGGATAGTGCTGAAGTACATCATGGTCTAGTTATTTATATTAACATGGCTAAAAGAACAGTCAAATGCGCAGATGAGACTATATTTAGCAACAACAGCTTTATTTAGATAATGCAGTTTTACAGTCATGGAGGATAGAAAACTTCTAATTAACCCTCTGGAGTCTGTGGCCACATAAGCATACATTCACATATCCTCCTATGAACTTATTTGGCTGGAGATGTGGAAAAAGTCAGTATTTTACAGGTTAAGGTTAAAAATGGGCAGCAGCATTCTGCATTCCCCAAGCAGACAGTGCTTTCTACTCCGTAAAATACGTTTCTTGCAAACCGACGGCAAAGACATATGCAATACATTTCTGTTAACGCAACACTAGCAAACTGTTTAGGAACAAATTTAACTTCATTCTTAATAAACTTTCCTTTTCCCCCCCAAATATGACTATGAAGTTATTAGAAAATCAAAACAAATGGTATCTGACATGGACATACACACTTTTTATTGAAGATCCTAAACCTAAAAGAAAACTATTCATACATATCATTCACTATCCTATCACAAGCATGCAAGATTTATGGCAAATTATTTTTAAAAAACCCAATTAATTGGTTGGACAACTGATTAAAAATCCCATTAAAGATTCCATAGGGACTAACAGAAGGAAATATGGCTACAATAATGAAATTGGCATGACCATTTCAATTTTAACCTTCTATTTTCAGTCACTTGTAACTTTCTGGAATGATCACCTTTTGGTATAAAACTTTCTAGGCCTGGCTTCTGCCCAGGGATACATTTTGTGTGGAAGTTTAAGTAAAGAGAGTTCAGCCACTTTTGAGTACAAGGAGAATAAGAACACACTATTCTTATCAGATAAAATTCTTGCTACCCTTTTAACAGTTCTACAGCCAAAATGAAAGTTGAAACATAGCAGCCTTCAACCAATGAGGCATTCTGATGAAATTCAGATCTGATCTGATCAAGTTATGACATCCTGAAAATGACATATGATGTACACTGTGTAGTGTTTTTCATTAAACTATTAACAACTGTAGCCCAACTGTGGAAGGCTACAGAGCATATATATGTGTGGCCAATTTAGCTGTACAGTGAAATCTGTATTGATGGTGCAGCATGGAGGGCTACTGTAAACGTTATATGGTTTGTTAGGTGCTCTGCAGCTAGGGAAGATGTAGAGCACTTCCCCCAGCTGTGAACAGTAGAGGAGGGTCCTTTGTGCCAATTTATGGGACAGTGTTTCATTGATATGTACCCAAAAATGTCCAGGTGATGGAATTTACACACTATTGCCAGCTTTATGCAAGCCATCCCAGCTTTGAAGTCCAGGAGGAAGAATCATTTATTTATTCTTCATCTTCATATTTAATTTTTTCATTAATATGTTTAAGCTACAATCATAAGACTCATCAAATCTCATGCTTCAGGGCCTAAACTGGTTTCACCAGCGAGTCACAAAGGAATCATCATCATGGTCCTGACCCAACACACAATGCTTCACAACAGGCTATGTGCATTGTTGCTGGTAGGGGAATAGCTTTGCCTTTCTCTGAGAAGATCAAGAACTGGTTATTGGATTAATCCCAACCAGTGAATCACATGGAGCAAACTGTTTGCTTCTAAAACAAAAATATTAATTTTATTAATTATTCAGCCTAGGATTTTTCTCTGTACTCCTAGCCCATCACACATTGTGAACAATTGTTCTTCCTTTGTGTCATACAACTGAAATAAGCATAACAAACAAGATCAAAGTGCTGGTGGGGAAAAATCTATTTAGATGTCCTCTATGAAATGCAAGTTATTTATCACATCTGTCCATTCTCCCTAGTAATTCTACAGATCATCCAGTTAAAAAAAATTGTCCATTAAACAAATGAGTCAAAAATGTCTTTGTAGAGGCGCAACACATTGCAGAGGGTCATTAGTTATCTTTTTTTCTCCTCTTAATGCAACACACGTGGATCTCTGTTGTAACTCTCGATGCTTTGATAGCCCTGTACAATGCTGCTTGAACTCCATGCCACAAGGCAACACTGTAAAGAAGCTGAAAGCAAAAAGAATGTAGAAAACCCTCATGACTGAAGATGACTTTCCAGAAAATGGAGAGTACTTAGAGCTAAAAACTAACTCCATGAATAGTTCTTGACCACCAGGTCATGAAACAAACACAAACAAACACCAACGCAATGAGAATGTTGCAGTCATACTTTATTGCTTATGGGATAACAACAAGAGCTACTAAACCAAGAGATAATTAGAAGAATTGATTCGCTATACGCACTGATATTAATGTCCCTGTAATCTGAAGAGTCAGAACAGCTGAATGGCTCTGGGGATCATTAATTATAGGAGTGTTCATTTATTATAAAACCTTGTTGATTTTTTTAAAATCCAAATGTCCTGTGCCTTATAGCAAAGAGTACCTTATAATGGAGTTAATAGTAGACTTCAAAAAAGTTAGGAGCCAAAATTAAATGTGTGCATCTATCTAGCGGGGCAGTGATAGAATAGGTATATAAGCATTTTGCACTTACTGTTTTTATTATCTGCACTGCACTAATGCTAGAGGCCTCAATGAAACTTACAGTGAATTTGCAGACTTACCTCATTCAATGCACACATGCGAGCAATGGAGCCAATGTTGTTGGTGATAGTGACCAAGGTAGCTCTGGCCAGGTCCTCTTTACTTATGGAATCTCTTTTTTCTTTACTCATCATGTGGCCAAAGCTGTGTTGGAAATATCACAGTCCTTTTTATTCTAAGTTATTCAGAAAGGTTAAATTTCCACAAATCTACTTTACTAAGCTTATAATATAAACAGTTTTGCTTGGATTTCATGCTGTTGACTCTGGGCATAACATTAAGGTTGCCAACCCTCCAGGACTGGCCTGGAGTCTCCCGGAATCAGCATCCATCTTCCAGTGAGTATTGAAAGCAATCCAGGAGATTTTTTTATAGCTATTTTAAGAAAATGACATTATGTCATGTGGGGGGGGGGGGGGAAATCTCCCGGAATAGCTTCAGTCAGAGTTGGCAACCCTACATAGCATGGACATGTGAGAAAAGACCTCTTAATAAAGAAAACACAATGGGTGGATTACAGTTACAATGGGTAAAGGTATTCCTTTCAAAATTACTGTATTTTAAATTAAAATAAATTGTATTTGCTAGACTTTGAATATTTTTATACTTTATTAGAAAACAAAAACAGGAGAGAGATCCCAAGTAAAAACACTATAATACAGCTAGGTGACTTTTATATACAGACACAGGACACAGGGTAGGCATTGAGAGTTCAGTTTAGTGTGCACAGCAAATTTCTACTAAGCTCTTTGAAAACAACCAGTTAAATATGTACCTTGATGCTACAGCAGATCCTTGAAGGCCAAATCGTTCATAGTCTCCCCCATAAATATCTTTTACCAGTTTATCGACATTGGTGCTGTCTCCTTTAGCTGCCATTTCTAGTGCTTCTTCAAAAGTCTCACAGCCAGTCAGCAAACAGCACAGGCCCAGGAACGTTCCACCTCCGAGACTAAAATGAGAAGAGTTCTTAGGCACCAGGCAGCTCTACGAAGCGTCATCCAGACATTCTCTGTCTCCTGCTTTTACTTGCTCTTTGCATAGTTCCTGTCTAGACGTTCACATCTCCTGATTTGGAATGATGAGGAGACATACTCTAGGCTGCATCTATGGTTACGAGCCATGCCCAGTAGAATCTCCATGATTAGAAGCCCGGGGAGTCTAGTTATGAAGATCCAGCTGGGAGGACTCAAATCACAGGGATGCAACCTACAGCACACGGTCTCCCACGCAAACCCATGCATGGCCATAGACTTGGAACTACAGCTCAAGCACCTGTGGGCAGCGCTCTAGCCATCTCTCCCTGGTCATAGGGGTCAGAGTGGAAATCACTGGTAATCAACAACCAAAGCACCCCCAAGCCAGGGAGAAATGGGCAAGGAGCAGCCAGAGCTGGGCACCTAGCAAGGGACCAGCAGCCCAGCCAAAGCATCCCTCAGCTGATAACAGGAAACAGCCAGATACTTTCCCAGCCCAGGGCAAGCAACAATCCTAGAAACCAACTGCAGCTCTCCAGTTCTGGGCAAGATGTAGCTGGGCAAAGCCACACGCAGCAGCCAGGGTTACTTACAGGTGCCAAAGCCAGCAAGGAGCATGGCAATTCTTACGTTTCTTAAGCTTGTTCCATGCTGCAGCCTTGTCAGGCTTCAGCTCAGATAATCAGGACATTTGCTGGTTATGTAAATAAAGTAATGCATATTTATCACATGCATATTAGGATGTTGAATATTTGCATAACAACTCCAGATTTATGAACCTTCAGCCTTAACAGATCTGAGCTCCAACATTTTTTAAAGTTGAATTTATATATCCTTCCCCTCGAGGGGAGGGATAGCTCAGTGGTTTGAGCATTGGCCGGCTAAACACAGGGTTGTCAGTTCAATCCTTGAGGGGGACACTTAGGGATCTGGGGCAAAATCAGTACTTGGTCCTGCTAGTGAAGGCAGGGGGCTGGACTCGATGACCTTTTAAGGTCCCTTCCAGTTCTAGGAGATAGGATATCTCCATTAATTTAAATTTAATTTATGTGAGCTTGGTGCAGCATGAGAGGCCTGGAGATGAAAATCCTCATATACATCAACTGAGCTGAATTTACACATTTCTCCAAACTTTCCTGTCAACGTGCCTAAGTCATGGCAACGAGGGAGTAGTTTGGCCTATTCACTCCTTGACCCCTTTGCTGAAACAAGAGTGACAATGAGTCCAAGGTCGGACAGTATTTCTATGGAGTGGACAGCTGTCCATCTAGAAAATGAACTATTAATTCATTCCACAAAGGCTACTTGCTGCTGACTTAGGTAAATTTAGAACCAATTGGATAATCTCAGATCTGAATACTCACAATGAAGTACCACTACAGCATGTTTGATGTTTAAGCAATAAGAAATATACATGTTGTTATCATTCAGATTTTTGAATTAGTTAAAAATTATTCACATAACATACAGGATCGTGGGCATGATTCTCCTCCTCTACTGAAGTCAATGGAGCTATGGTGTGTAACAAGACATCCAAGCCCGACAGCTTTAAAAGGTGAGTGTTTACTATCAGTTAGTTTGTTTGTACTGTATACTGGGAAACAGACAAATAGACTACAGAATGCTAAAGGCAAAGGAGTTTTCAAGGTAAAGGTCTCCTGTGCATCCACACTGAAAATATATTACTCGTGGAGGAAAAAAGCAGAACACACACACATATCTATATATATATATAGGCTGAAGTCAAAAACATGTTCTATATCTTATGTGTAATGAAAAACAGTGAAATTTTCAGTGTGCCTTTAGTGTTTAAGTAATCTATCCATAGGTCTGAATATACAGTCAAGCTTTACGAAGAACAGAACATTAGCGAGTTACATATCCTCTACATTAATCAAAAAGAGGAGTGGGGAAGCAACAGAGCGTTGCCACAGATTACCCATTAAAAGAGTGGGAGAAAAGATGCAACATTGGGAGGTTTTAATATGAATGAAGGGGGAGTCATAGAAAACAACAAATACAATTAGAAATATTGCCAAACCCCCCTGTAGCGAGGCGGTCTGGTTCCCTGCCGCCCTGGAGAGGGACGAGCCCCTCCGGACGCCAAAGTGGGCGGAGCCAGTGAAGCTTGCGCCTGCCCCCCAGAGGTCAGGATGCAGGACAGGAAGTACAAAAGCCCAACCCCAGAGCTCAGTAGAGGCCTGGCCACTGGAGAAGCCAGACGCCTGTGGCCTACCTCCCAGTTGGGAGACTCCTGCAGTTGGCGACCGACCCGAGGACTGGCCAGACCAGCCAAGGCCTGATGCTGACCAGACCCCGGAGAAGCTGTTAAGCCTACCGGTGGCAAGTTTTTTTTTTTTGTTTTTTTTTTTTTTTAAATGGAGATATCCTATCTCCTAAAACTGGAAGGGACCCTGAAAGGTCATCGAGTCCAGGCCCCTGCCTTCACTAGCAGGACCACGTACTGATATTGCCCCAGATCCCTAAGTGGCCCCCTCAAGGATTGAACTGACAACCCTGGGTTTAGCAGGCCAATGCTCAAACCACTGAGCTATCCCTCCCCCCCAAAAAGCCTACCGCTCGCCGGTACCCAGAAGAGCCCATAGTGCTTGATTCCTTAGAAGACTCCGTCCAGACGCAGGTACCTCTAGAGGGGGAGGTAGGAAGTAGCCCGGGGGCAGCCGACCCTAGTCTGGCTGCAGCACACCCAGAGCCGATGTCAGTGTGTTGCAGTCAGGATCCCCACTGACACATCAGCGGACCATCTGCTGCTGCTAGGGCCCCGGGTTGGGATGCAGTGGAGTGGGAGGGCCTGCGTCCCCCCTGCCATCCAACGTGCGGGTGGCAGTCTCCCCCTCTCCCAGGTCCTTCGGAACCAGGACCTGGGCCTCCTAAACTTATTTGTCTGTGCAGCCCCTGCCTGAGGGCCTGAGCCACAGACTCTCTACTGCCCTGCCCTGAACCAGGGCCTGTTGTTCTAAAACTGTTTCCTCAGCCCCTGCCTGAGGACCTGAGCAATTGACTTTCTACTGCCCTGCCCTGACCTGACCTAGGGCCTGGGCCTGTTATTGAACTGTTTGCTCAGTCCCTGCCTGAGGGCTTGAGCTTCTGACTGTTTGTTGCCCCGCCCTGACCCAGGGCCTGGCCCTGCTAACAGAAGAGCCCATAGTGCTTGATTCCTTAGAAGACTCCGTCCAGACGCAGGTACCTCTAGAGGGGGAGGTAGGAAGTAGCCCGGGGGCAGCCTACCCTAGTCTGGCTGCAGCACACCCAGAGCCGATGTCAGTGTGTTGCAGTCAGGATCCCCACTGACACATCAGCGGACCATCTGCTGCTGCTAGGGCCCCGGGCTGGGATGCAGTGTTTGCTCAGCCCTGCCTGAGGTCCTGAGCTACTGACTGTTTGCCGCACAGCCAGGCTAGTTCTCCCACACACCTGACCAAAGTAGCGAGGCGGTCTGGTTCCCCGCCGCCCCGGAGGGGGGCGAGCCCCGGCCGAACCCCCTACAGCCCCAAAATTGAAGAAAGAGACATCTAATTATCATTGCTAGAGAGGATTAAACAAACTGGGAACTACTGTACCAAACTTCATATTTCTTTCATACTATTAATAGAAAAAAATCAAAAGGATGTTAGCAAATGCTTCAATAATTTAAAACAACCACTACCAAATTTTTAGTTTAATTAATCTTACCCCCAATATTCATCACATATAGGAATATTTTCATTCCCTAATGTATGAATTGCTATAATATTTTATGCTTAGCTACGTTGTATAAATCGGTTAGTCTTTAAGGTGTCACCGGACTCCTCGTTGTTTTTGTGGATACAGACGAACATTGCTACCCCTCTGATACTTTGTATAATTCTTGTAATTTTTCTATATAATTAAAAAATTAATTACACACTGCTGTACTTAAATAGTCAACAGCAAGTGAAATAATGTAGTATTTTGGTTTTGGCAATGCAAGCATCTCTGAGGAGAGGGCAACTTAAAAATTCAGTTGGGGTCCCTAGGTCCCTGGCAAAGGCTCCCCAGCAGCTGCAATGGATTGATGTATCTCCAAGCTGTCTTCTATGGAGGGACAGTGAGGGAAGTGGCAATAATCTGACCCCATATATATAGCATCCTTACCTGGTCCCTGTAACTCTTTTATAGTTGTCCTTGGAATACACTGCTAGGATGCTGACCCCTGAGCCTATGTTAACCAGCAACATTGGATATGGATTATCAAGGCAGTAAGGCTTTTTCTGACACTGTTCAGGATCTGTGGGATTTTCAAAATAATAGCACTCTGGCTGGCCATTAAACCCAACAGAATCAACATACAGCAGGCCCTGGATCAAGCAGTCCAGCTCATCCAGTTTATGGAGCTGCAGGTCAGCAATCTGGAAGAGACCAAGAAGTTAATAAATGAACATTTGTTAGTTCAACACATGCAACACAGAGAAGGGCAAAAGGCTCTGATGAAGCACTTTGTACTGTTTGAGTTGCATAATGTGTCACTATTCAAGTAGCCAAAGTTCTATTTAAGCCAGAAGTCAAGTAAAAATAGATTGTTGTCTGCCCAACAACAGGCATATCGCAAAATAATCAGTACTATATAGTACAGTAGCGGTTTTCAACCTTTTTTCATCTGTGGACCCCTACAAATTTTCAAATGGAGGTGCGGATCTCTTTGGAAATCTTAGACAGTCTGCGGCCCCAGAGGTCCACGGACCACAAGCTGAAAATCACTGCAGTACAAGCTTCAGGTTTCCTTTGCCTTAAAGAGATTTTCTGGACTACTTGCACGGCAAACTGCTGCCACCAAGTCAGAGTTCAGATTAATCAGAAAACTCTGCAGGGAAACCTACTCTGCAGCTGTTTAACAGTATCTGACATGCATAGACAGCAGCATTTCCCAGGATGCAGTTATCTATTTATTCAAACATTCAAATCAAACACTTCATTAAAATCTAAACTTAAGTAACTTCATAGCTAAAATACCACGATCCCCCGGTCCATGCTTTATGAAACAGAAAGTAGGGAAAAAATTTAAATGTGTAAGATGTGCTATTGGCACATCAGAAAATACAGAAACATTATTAGTAAGGATTTACACTTCTACAGCATCTTTTTATCCACAGATTTTAAAAAGCTGTTTCTTCCTTAGGTTATACAGGTGGATCAGTTTAGGATGTCTCATGAAAACACATATTGGAAGTCATTATTCTCCATGATTTAAATGTAAGAAACTAATCCCATGTGCATAGAAATAATCCTTGATAATGAAAGAATATGGCAAGAAGAGATATAAAATAACTTTTGTCTAAAAAAGGATGTTTTCCTATGAAACATCATAAGCCACCCATGACTGGACTCAAGCTTGTCATAACATATTACTTAATAGGCTCAGACTGACTGTTGCTTCCTGCTTGTATAATAGGACAGTTCTGTGGAAAGTATCTCTTTCAAGATGACACAGGGGTTGAGTCCATATCAAGGGAGTAAACAATATGGGGGAAGGATGCAGAGAGAAAAAAATATAACTATCCCCTGCTCAGGTGTATTAGGTTGCACTGTTTACATGATGAATGAAGAGAATGAAAAGGAGCTAGAAAAACTAAAATTTTAAAGAAGTTTTATAAAAGTAGCCTTATAAAGCTGCTTTATAAACATGCGGATTTGGAACAATCCCCAGTTATTAGATTGCCACTTCTCTGGTTGAATGAACAGCAACCAGAAAAGATGTGCTCCATCCTGAGACATGAACCCCACCATCCCTCATCAATTACAGAGGAAACAATTTTCTTGTCTTGCTAAATGCAACCCTGAGGTTAACTTTTAATTGCTCCAAATTCAGAGTAAAGTTTCCTACAGTAACCATAACCCTCTCCCAATATGTGCATATATTATAAGGATATTTCCTCACATAGTCACACAACACAGATGCAGGAAGGCAAAATACTACATACTGTAGATGCATCTGTAGACAGATGCAATATGCACAAATAACAAAGGAAAATTCACTTTTCTCTATATTACTGAAGGAGTGGAATGAAATATAGTTACTTTCCAATATATTTTATTTGTAACTCACATCACACATTGTTCATTGCTGTGTGAACATGCTGCATAATAAACATCTGATATAATATGTATTAACAAGGGGCCATAATTAGTAGTTATATGACCCTTTATTCTGACTTTCAAAAACTTGTGGACTTAAAATCTCATTCAACATTGCACCATAATAATAATCTGTAAATGTCTGTGTCTCTCCAATAAGTCAATTTCATATAATGAAAAGTATAACAACACAGCCCTAAGAATGAAATAACAACCTGAAGTATCAGTATCAAGAAGAATGTTGGGAAGAAAATTATGATTCTGACAGCAAAAATTCTAATTTCTGCAACTCTTGGGATCCATCCAGAGCTCCATTAGAGAGAAATGGAATGTAGGGGAAGTAGAGGAGGATCTAACAGATCTGCTCTCTGCACCCAGGGGATGAAAAAGTTTCAATCCATGGTAACAGGGAAATGGAAATTTGCCCTGCTTTCAGGTGTCTCTGCTGGGTCAGTTGCTGCACAATCATCTGAAAAAAGTCCTTCCTCTGCTCTCTTTCTCACACAATATTCCCAGCAAAAAAATTACTAGAGAACAATTATTTTATCTCATTACAAAACATATTTTGTCACAAGTTTTGCCCCTGAATTTAGCAGGCTGAAAGTTCTTTATAACCATTAATTATTTTAGCTTCAGAACACCTTTATGAGGTAAGTATTACTTACTCACATTCTACAGGTGAGGGAACCGAATTACAGAAAGCTTTATTTGCCCAATATCATACTATAAGTCAGTGGTAGCATGAGAAAGAGAACCAGGTCTGTTCATTAACCAAAAATCTATCCTTCTTCATAGAAGAGACTCAAGTAGCTTGCCCACATCAGAAAAAAAGATGTTGCCTTAGACCTCAACCACGGTATTGAGTAGGTCTATTTCTTTTCTGGTGATATCATTCTGCCACATTCTGATCCATCCTGGCTTCAACCTTCCAAGACCCAGTTTTGCTGAAAAAGAACCAAAGTTTCGTACACAATGCATGATAAAGGTCAAAGATTTGTGTGAAAGCTTTTACAGTAAATAAGGATGGTCTCCTTTAACTTCAGTGCATTTGCTGATATTTTCCAGCCTTCTATCACCTCTTTCACATGAGAAAGTGAATGTACAAAGCCAGTTCCCCTCTGGCTGAAGCTGTCCTCCCCAGGAAGTTATTGATAACAAGGATTCTGCTGTCCATTGTAGCGTCTCCCCAGTTCGCAACATACACACACAGAAATATCATTTTAGGTTGGGAGGATGAAACAGCTGAACAAACAAGCAGGACTCTTGAGGGGAAAGATTGGAGCTTGTGAAGTTTACAGTGAGTTTTACTTGTTTAAAGTGGGAGCCATTTCTTGTTTTTTGTTACTGCATTGTTTGGGACCTCCTATTACATTTTTATTGGAGTGTTTTGGAAACAGTTATGATGGCCACAAAACAGAGAGGTTCTTAAGAAGGCCTGAAAAACCATCAGGAGCAGGAAGTTATAGACAAGTTTATCTCAAGCTTGGAAACTAGTGTGATCATAGAGGGAGCAATGCCATATTCTATGCCTTCCCTACAATAGGTAATTTCCAAAGATAGGCAGGTTCCAGGGTTGGACAGTGGGGTACAGTGGTGTGCTGGAGAAGTCAACAGATGCTACAAAAGCCACTGTTTGTAGAACAGAGACTACTCCATCTCCATGCCCACCCCCAAATATAGTACACCTGCTCAAAGAGTATGTTTTTCAAATGCTTTCATAAAGGCCTTTCTGGCAGGTGTAATAATGAACAAAGGGAGACCGGTCACACCCAAGGGGGGTATAAATTGACTCGACTCCAGGGAGAAAGATGACACCAGACAGTTGCCACCAGGGAAGTGGCAGCTGACCCAGTGAATGGGGCCTTTACTGATTGATTCCCCCCCCCCCCCAGTATAGGGGAACATTTCTTGCTTCTTTGGGAAGGTTTAAGTCCTTGACATTAGTAAAATAATTATCCACAGGAAAGTCTGACCATGCTGGATCAGAGTAGAAATTTCTTTGCAAGTAAATTACGTGTTTGAGGCCAGGTCTACACTACAGAGCTATATTGGTATAACTACATCACGGAGGGGTGTGAAAAATCCACACCCCATTGCAATGTAGTTATATCAACCTAGCCCTCCCCCCACCCTACCCGCATATATAGCGCTACATCGATGGGAGAAGCTCTCCTGTCGGCGTAGGATCATCTTCACTTAAGCACTACAGAGGTGCAGCTGCATCGTTTTAAGTGTAGACCTGCCCTCAGACTCCAATAACAAAGCATAAGATGACTCAGCCCTGTTCAGGAACATCAATGGATAAACCTGAAATATTTGCAAGAAAATAAATGGTCTCATTAGGACCTGCCAGGGCATTTTTTTTTTAAATGAAGTCAAAAAGACACATTATATACAAATTCAATTGTATTTGTGTTTTCAAAACCAATTCAAACTTACACAATTTTTTTGGGTGTTCTATATAAAATCTGAATTTTAGAATCCCATCTAAATATAGCTTAAAGTTACAGTTGTTCCTTTTTGGATTTTTCTTGGAAATATGTAAACTTATTTCTAATATTTAATATTTTGCAAGTGCATTTTTAAACCAATTGTATCAATTGCAATAGCCCCACTTGCTACAGCTCTGGTTTTTGTTATGCCTTCTCTCTCTTCCAGGCCTCACTCTAATTTTTCCCATTTTCTTTTGTATAACAGATCACAGTATACCTTTACCGCTATAATGATGTTCTCCACTTCCTCCCTTAATATTCTGCCTCTTCTCCACAAAAATCTCTCTGAACCTACTTCTCTTCTAGTTTACCTCATTCCTACTCACCCCCATACAGAGTTTGGAAATCTGCCCATACACTTACAAGTCAAAGAACAAGCCATACTAGAAACAGACTGACATGAATGATGGGTGGGGTTCCACTATTCAAGGACAGTCCCACTCCAAGCTGTTGAGAAAGGGGAGGTGGCTAGGATACCTACCAGGGTGCTATTCTTGGACCTCCCTCCCCCCTTGAGAGGATCCATCTTTTATATCAGCCTGCAGATAGCAGGTATCTGATAACTTTTAAGATCCTCTCTCCCCCAACCTCCTTTGGAAGCTGGAGCGAAGAAAGGAGCATTCTCTGTTCTCCTCACCAGAGCTTCCTGGCTACTAAGGGTGATGGTGACAGTAAGAGTTTTCACTACTTTACCTTTCCCAAGATTCCACTGTTGACTCCTCTGCCCCAAGGTGACAGCTTCTAGCCTTCTCAAGCAGAAGAAGAGTAAAACTAACAAGAATTTT